AGCGCGCCCCACTCAGAGCTTCCGTCGTGAAGTTACTCGTCGCTTAAACTTGTTGAGCACTGCAGATAACCGTCGTCTCAACACCGCCTTCATCGCTGTAGGGGGACACTACGGTGTAACTTGTGACTTCATCTATTACCATCGCATTTGTCGTCTGGTGGGAGGTCCTACCGGTCTCACCTTCTCTTCCGAGCTCACCTTTGTTTGCCATCTTCCGGCCGACAATACTCCATTCCCGTAGATCACTTGGGACGCACCCAGTGAACTCCAACTCCCGTCGCCTCCATCTTCACCTATTCGCCGCACCTTCCGTCTACCCCGCGCCGGACCCCGCTCTCGTCGCACTTAAATCATGTCATACGTTGACCCCGCCAATTACCCCATGGATATTCCGGAGGGTGGCTGGCATGCAGACGTTGATGACGCTGACGATTTCCGTCTTCCGTCTGGCCTTGACACGGACCTCTTCCTCTACCGCGCCAAACGTGCGGACGGCTCACTATTCTGGGTTGTGAAGGAGAATGCGCGCACGGCTGCGTGCTCACCCACTGCTGAGCAGCTGGCCGCAGCTATTGGCTTCTCCAAGGATTGCCTTATCCGCGCCCTCCGGGCCGAGATTGACACCCTCCACGCTCAGCCGCCTCATCCGCAGGGCCCTCAAGGCCCCGCTCAGGCCGCCGCCGTTCGTCCTCAGCAACTTCGCCTGCCACTGCTGCGTAGCTTTAGCGGAGTGCCTACCAAGGAGGGGGTGTACGACCCGGAGCCACACGACTTCACCGTCACTATTAGCCATTACGTGTACGCCCAGAGTCAGGAACTCGGCGTGACCTTCAACGAAGACAGGAAGATTCACGTCTTCTCAAGCTTCCTTGAACAGTCTGCGGCCCGCTGGTATCATCAGCTGCTTCAGGAACGGAACATCACCTTGCGCAGTAGCCAACCCTATACCGGCCCGCTCAATAACACCAACACACTGGTCGCGGCTTTCCTACGCAAATACGAAGATGTCAACATCCGCGCCACGGCAAAGCACAAGATCCGCACTCTCCAGCAGGATGGCACGGCAGAGGTCCACATGCGCTTCTTTAAGAAGTGCGCACTGCTCAGCGGCTATGGCGAGGAAGCGCTCGTCGACTGGTTCAAGTCGAGCCTCAAGGTCGCCCTGAAGGACAAGGTCAACGGACAGGGCAAGTAGTGCCCAACCACGCTGGAGGGCTGGTATGAGGACGCCATCCTCTTCGACTGGCAGTATTGTGAGGATCAGCTGGATTGCGCATTGGCACGCAAGTCCTCGCAGCTGGCCACCGGTAATACGTCCTCGCGCAACCAGTCTGCCAGCGCAAACAATAACACCGGTCAGCCCGCGGGTGGCTCGCAGCAGCAGCAGGCCCCGCGCAACGCCAACCAGTGGCAGCCGCGCAATGGCAACTGGTGCCCTTGGGGCACTCCCGCCCAGCAACAGCGCGCACCGGCACCGGCGGCCAACACTGGTGTGGTCCCCATGGACATCGAATCGGCCAACGCAGCCATGGCGTGCTACCGCTGTGGTGAGAACCACTTGGCGTGCAACTGCGACACGCCTATGGAGACTATCCGGCGAAAGTACGGTCGGGATAGGATGATTCCTTTCCCTCCGGGCTATCGGGCCCGTGCCACGATGTTTGCCAATGTGGACGACTTTGCCGCCTCGCTGTCTCCGGCTGATCGGGCCGACTTGGCACGCGTGCTGCAGAGTGGAGGGGAAGCACTGGCTGCTCCCCCAACTCAAGTGTCGCAGCAGGGTTTTACCAGCGGCTCGTCGTGAACACGGCACCTTGAGCCCCTTCTCGCTTCCACGGACTATTCAACTCGTTCATATTGCGCGTATCTACTTTGTCTCTGCTACTCAGATTGCAGGGTGTCACCCCTGCCCCTCATGTACCAGAGCCGGACGATACTCCGGCTGTAGCTCTATTCACCCCCGCGCCTAATGATAATGAAAATGAAGTTGCTGAATTTGTCTGCCCTGTGTCCCAACTCTGCACCCCAATTGTCTAGCACCTTCAGCACGACCACCCCAGAGGTGTCTTTATAGGTTGAGGGTGCATGGGAGGTGCTACCCACTGTATGTAGTGTATATATTGTGTTAAATGTGTGTCGATACACTATCACGCCATTTGTCTTTCTCATACTTGTGAGATGTGACCTTGCCAGTATGCATGTTGGGTGCGGGTGTGGCACCTCTGCCCTCTCGTACCCACTAGCACTTCAGTCTGTATAACAATATACTGAATGTGAACCAATACTGATACAGTCCGCCATTCAGAGCATAGCAATTGCACCCCGCGCCAGTAAGTTTAAAAGCTAAGAAGGTCATCTGCGGCATACAAGGTACCTTCCATGGAGTTCACAGTTGCGTGTGCACTAGCAATTACTGCATTTGCTACAGCCTCCTCACTCTCCTCATTATTGCGCATACTACTGTGAAGCCCCGGAGCACATCAGAGTACACTGGCACTAGTGATGTGACTCTGACTCTGATGCATTAGAATCCACTTCGACATCCGTTGCAATAGGCTCCTGACACGCCTTCTGTGCTGCGCGGCCTCTTTGCACTGCTTGAAACACATAGTGCACTGATATGTTCCGAGGGCTTCCACTTCCTTGCATTGAGAGCGGATGAGTGGATTGACCTATCATGTGTCCATATTATAGATAGACTGATATCAGCAAAAACTCACATGGTCTGAGTTACTCGTAGCAGCGAAACATATCAACTCTTTTCCAAAAGTGTCACAATCATGTGAGTATAGAATGCCAGCACCTCTGTAACCCCTAAGATAACTTTTGCCATCATCGGGGAGGTGTAGTAGACTGCCACTATGGTGTCACAGGCCCAAAAATAACACAACTATGGGATAGTGAAGGTGGACATAGATACTGAAATCAAAAACTGAGAATATGCCTGTATGATGCACATCAGACAGAGTCTATATGCAGGGCAAATGAACCAAACCTCCATCTGAGTCTGGAGGCAGGTTGGAGAAGCAAAGCATGAATGTGAACTCATAATGCTGGTCCTTGTTGTTATTGTGCTCTCCATCATAGCTGCCCATCTGCTCAGCATTATTATGGGAGTGTGTAAGCAAAGTAAGGGTCAGCATTTATAGTATTGGGACAGTATCAAAAACAATGGTAAGAGGCAAAGAAATAACTATACCTATGTCCCACACTTGCACACTGGTAATATTGATCTGAAAGTTGTGGAAGACCTTGGTCTTTGATATGCACAGGAAGTTATACAAGTCCTGCTGCAGCTCCAGCACTGCACGTATGGACTGTAGCCAGAACATTGTGGCAAAAGTGCCTATTGTTCCCGCATTCTATGCAAGATGTGAGATATGAATGCAACAAAAGAATAAAGGGTGGCCACCTTTAGGATTGACGTGTTGTAGTAGATGCCTTCTCGGTGTGCACTTGTCTCTGATGTCTTGAAAGTCGGGGCAGGAGCAAAAACGGCCCCACCTCCAGACTTCCAAGACATTATGTTGATATAGCAGTACGGAGCAGACTTCTTGATGCACTTGGAGTTACCAAAGCGCTTAAAAGCAATGCCACCTTCAGATGTGGGCATAGAGTGAGCACCACTGTTCTTGACATGTCGAGCCTTAGTTTGATGCCGGAGCTCTCGAGGTCCGAGGATGGTATCTTGGAGATGCTTGAATGAATGCCTATTGCATCTCCTCTATAAGTTGAGTTCTGAATTAATATCTTGTGAGTGTAGAACAGGATGGAAATATATTACCAATGCACTCTCCAATGACAACAGCTTGGAAGATGTTGTATAATTTATGGCCCACGTCACCATCAAAAATGTCACAAGCACAAATGATGTTACTAGGTAGTGCCTCAGTAACCTGAAAGGCATGAGCGAGTCTTGTGAACAAGTGTAAGTACCGTACACACCTTTCATGGACAGATTAATTTTGGATCTAGAGGGACCTTCTCCTTATCCACTCATGTCCAAAACATGTGCAGTTGTTGTAGATTACTGGTCGTGAGGACCATGAAGACACACTGAACTCTCAAGCGCTTATCCATGCCCAGTATAGATAAGAGTCGATATGTTTTAGGTCCATTTAACACTTTGAGCAAGGGCAAAAGGTGCAATCCCACACTTGTCCTCAAGGCCTAATTGTCAATACAGCACATTTCAAGTGGTGGCAGAGAGGTAGGATCAGCAAAGTAGATAATCAGCACCCAGGGGAGAAGAGCCTTGTTCTGCGCATTGCGCTGAGCAAGCAGGCTACTAATGCAAGTCCCTATGATAGTAGAAAGCAGAGAAAGTGGGGGAATGCACCTGAGCGGAGAGAGGACCCATCCTCTTTCCAAAGCCAGGTGCAAAGAGTGATGACTTTCTCTTTCTTGGTCCTGTATCCCTGCTTGTGAGAGCACATGGATGGGGGTATCCCGCTTTTACGCAGATCGTGATGTGACTTAAGTGGAGTATGACTGGCCTGCACTTAGGCGAGCCACTGTGACCAGACTATACCGCCAACAAGACGGGACTTCAACAGCGAGGAGTAAGAAAAAGGAGAAGAGGGGCATAGTGGTCTGTGCCAAGAGTGGACACCTACGCGCTCACGTGCATTAGGAAAATGGTCACCGGCTAATCTGTGCTAATCTGTGCTCATTTCCGTTATTTGTGGAAATGAGAAGCAATTAGCGGTGATCAACAGGCATGAGCGGAAATAAGCTCGCTTGAGAGCTGGTTAATATGTGGGTGCTTTACTGATGTGGCAACTTGTGCGAACACAATAAAATCAAATATTTATTCAAAATACTTGAGGTAGCAGTGCCATGAGTATGAGTATTTCACTATAGAGCTCAGTTGGATGTTTTAGGAGCATATGAATATTTTGTGATGAGCATGCAATAGATTAACTGTATATACAGTGACTGTCCATGAGCTAAGAGCGTGAGAATGCAAGTCGCGCCCGCCACAGCTTCACATGGCTTCTACTCACCTCTACCTGCCATCTCTAGACCTTAACTTTAGTCCTATATACACCTTTTGTATCATTCCAATGCTGCTGTATATAGACAGCTCCTACTGCTCGCTTGATGGCTGAATGGGAGTCCAGAGAACCCACAGGTAACCTAAGCCTACTTCTGCTAGGTTTGCCCATTTCCCATTGCCTGGATTTCTCCTGTATATTGCGCGCATCTACAAGTTTCAGTGGTAGATAGTTTTGATGCTCAAGTTCTCTTTGAGATTAATACCAAGATAGAGCCTGCCGGCAAATGTTGATGGATTTTCAAAATAATGGCAGATTCAGAGTCTGCTAATTTAGAGCTTTGAAACACCCCCAATTTAAATTCTGTACTATATAGTCTGATAATAGCCAATAAATGGCCAAAATACCCTATATAGCTCTTGTTGATAGCTAGGACAGTTGAGGTAACTATATAGATATTCTTTATCATATATTTGAGACTATACCTCAGTTAGAAGTACCCTTATAACCACATAGAGAAGTAGAGCAAGCCAGATTAGGGATGCCAAGGTAGAAAAAAGTGGTAATCTGCTTACAACTTCATGAATACTAATTTACAATACTAATGAGCTATATACCAGATAGGTATATGGCCTACCATGATGCTGATCAACTGCTGACAGCTATGTAGTTAAATCTGTGTGCTGCATAGTTGCTCAACATTGGTTTCTGCACTGTGCACTATGTACTGGATACCTTATATATGCACCTCTATCACCTCTTATATACTACCTATACTGTATCAGATAATTTATCCTACAGCTAAATTCTTGTCTATGAATAGTCTTGATATAACACCTTAAATAAAATTTTGTGATGTCTAGATCAAGATGGGGTACCAGTACGAGATTGAGCTATATATAACTTGGTGCCTTATTACAGGGCATTTATGCAATAAAAACCCATTTATTATGTACCGGGGTCGTCCGTGTGGGCTCAATATCAGGTACAAACCTGATTTCGGCCGTATTTGGGTTAATTGAAACAGTTTGTTTTTTGCTTACCACCTGTGTTTTTCTGCTGCAGTCATGTTTAGTACATCATTTTGAGTATTTCCTATTTTTTTGCATATTTTACCTTTTTTATTCCTTGTGTCACAATATAATCTATTTGGCATTTTGTGTTCTCACGCTCACCTTTAATAGTTCCGTATATCTCCTTTTGGTTAGCTCCCTGATCTAATTAATCACATGGCTAACCAGCCTTCCATTCAGAACTCCACATTATATCACTAACTTTACTAGTGGTAATAGAGGTCTTGAGACCAATCTGGCATACTGTTACTTACAAATCCATATAAAGGTATTGGAGTTATAGAACTGGAAATCTCAGCTATCTTAGAGCAGAATTTAGAGAAAAGAGGACTTGGGGAGAAAGACTATTGGGCTGCACTTACAAACAGTGTATAGCTATGAGCAGAAAAGTACACAGTTATATAGAGTATATATCGAGATAGCTCAGACTACTGCTCCCAGAATGCTAGCACTCTCCCTCACCTTTGCTCCAGCTGCTTTGACATCTATAACAATAACAACAATGACACTCTCCAACACACCTTCTGTCTCTATGCCCATCCCCTCTGGAAGCATCACGCCGGCCAAGCTCGCCACAGCACAGGCCCCCGAACCTGCTCTTAGTATTCATACCGGTACTGCACCTGCCTAGTAAATGAGGCAGTACTTGGATATCTGGGCCGATGTAGACTAGATAAATTCAGAATCATATAGTAGATACCATATAGCAAATATGTACCCAGTCCTATTAGGATCTATCCACTAGAACATTCAGGCCAGAGATGCTGCTCTGTTACAAATGTGAACACCTAGGTACCTTTCAAAGGTCCTGGTAACCTGACTACTTATCATATCACTAGAATTGTAGCAGATTGAGAGTTGCACCACAAAATGTGTCACTTTCAGCCCTGTAGACCCAAAGCAACCAGATATAGTAAAAGGCCCCAGACTTAACCAGAAGAGTGCCAGGAGTAGCAGTTGGGAGCATATAGTGATGGCAGGAGTATGTATAGATAGCAAAATGACTAGCAAACATGTAGGAAGCCATGATAGGGTGCTAATAAGACAAAGAAATCATCAGGAATAAGTCTAAAGAGTAATGGAGAGGGCCCACAAGCCCAGTAGGTCCATATAGGTCCATAATGGTGCCACAGTTAGCCACAAGAGGCTCTCGCAACTGACGATGGTGTCACATCACATGTAACATATCACTCAATCTTGGGCCACAACTGTGGTTTCATAGCTACACACTTACCTACCTGTATATAAGAGTATAATATGTGCTACCTCAAAGTATAGTGTATAAGTTCAATACTGTCATAGTAGTTCTAGACAAATTGGAGAATAAAGTCTAAATATCTGCTATCTGGGGGATGCCCAAGTCTTTTAGAAAACAGCTCCGGAGTGGCAGAGTAATGCGGCAGAGCGGAGCGTTTTGCCGGAGCAGTCGCTCGAGCACTCCAAAATTTAGAACGGCAGATCAAATTCTAAATTCAGACCGGAGTGTTCGCACCGCGTGTGTCCCGACATGTGCCCGTATATAGCTAGGCATGTCATCACTTCAACCTTTATCCCGCCCTCATCTCTGGGGAGGAGATTATTACCCAGGTTGCGCTCAGTATCTTAATTACCGTTTTTGTCTTGCTCTGCCTTCCGCATTGCTTTGCACTCCAGTTCTTCCATCTCTGCTCGCCTACTCTTTTGCCGTCTACTTCTCTCTTTCGTGTCCATTCTTTTGTCTATCTCTACATTACTTGCGCAATTCTGCCCACTCCGTATACCAACACAACCTTACCACCTACAACACATCTCCTTGATATAATTCGGTACTTCATTCGACAGTCGGTCTGGTGGATATGGTGAGTCAAGTATGTCCCGGCACTAGGTACTGTCTCTCACCGTCTGTCGTAGGCCCAACCATTCTCTCCATGTGAGAATGCGTCTCTCCGGGTTGAGAAAGTGTGCAAACCAAAGAAGTACGCACAAGAGTGTTTTTGCTAGCTCTGCATCTGGTGTTGCCTTGCGGCAATGATTGCCAGTGAGAAGCAATGCAATCTTACTAGCCATAGGGCCAAGTATAAGTGAGATATAACACTCAATGTCCCTGAATGAACCTGACCTTCTTTTTTAGTGATCACCTGAAGAGGACAAACACGGCGAAGACGGTCGCTGGTTATTCTACGGCTGCTACTGGTTCAGTACTGCAAGAAAACACCAGGTTTGTATCTTGCATAGCTATTGTCTTGTTCTCAGTGTTCTCATGTGTATGCATAGCACTTCCCAACCCACGGCTCCTGTCAAAGAAGCATCACCTCCGCCCGAGCCCTCTGTGTCGGATAAGGCATCCGCTGTCGTTCCGCCCACATCCATCACGCGTCCGCTCGGTGACCCATCTCGCTCGGCTGATGAGCTCTGGCAAGATTCGGTGCAATGGTATCCACCTACACGGGGCCCTTTGTACGACCATCGCAAGGTGAAGGAGAAGTTCAACCATGAGAGGGAAGCGGCACGCAGTCGGCCCATCAGTATTGTCCTTTGGAATGCAGTATGTGGTGCTCCGTTCTATACTATGTTTTGATGCTGATATGGTATACAGCCCCATTGCCCTCACTTTGCACCAATGTCGGCTTTGGTTGATTTATCATCAGGCGTATTCTTGTTAGATGCCTGCTCTATACTCGACAAGGAGATTGCATATCTTGCTACCATCCAGTTCTACGACTTTCATCACATTGTTGGTCCATCATGGATTGCTCTCGGCACCAACGGTCATATCACGCTTGAGCCGTCTGACAATCACATTCTATTGTGCTTCCCGCCACCCGCCACCAAGTCTCTACCCCTCGACACAGACTATGTCGGCTTTATGCGCTATGTCGAGATGATCTCCAATGCACGCAGCCTGAAGCGCTGAGGAGATGATATCACTACACCCACTGCAAAGTGTCACTCGTTGTATGCTGCATCCAACAACTTTGATATGATGATTGCACCATCTACACCTGCCCAATATGGGTAAGCTCTCATAGAACTTTCACGCTCAATGCGAAATTGACTGATCGCCAGATTGATTCCTCGATCTCAAGTGCCTCTTGAGTGAGTGATCTCTTCTTTGCCTGGATCTGCTTTGACCTGATGATCTCATAGATTGCGGCCTATGCCCCACCAAACCAACTCTATCGAGATTACTGTGCCTGGCTTCCTCCCCAATGTATCCAATGCATTCAATGCCGACACAATTGTAGACCACGCTCTCGGTGGTCTCAACCTTGATGGTGTACTAGACGTGTATAGTGGCTCGCACTGTGAGGTGAGTCACCAGCGGCTACGTCTACTGGATCGGTGTCCAATAGGTTGCAGGTTCATCATGCATATCACTAACAACTACTGCTTGCTCATTGGTCGCCAGATGTTTGACGTCTCTCAGTTGAGTATCTTTAGCAATATGTCACCATCTCTCACTATAGTAAGTTACTCGATGAACAGTATACATATTCCTCGCTGACCGACACTTCAGATTTTCACACAGGTACCACTTTCTGTAAAGACGGGTACAGTCATCGATTCATCTACTGCAGATACAAACTGGTCGTCAGGTTACATGTTCGTCATGAACTTCATGGGCTTGCATGATTATAACTTTGCCATCCTTGCAACTACGTCAGGGAAACCAGTCAAGCAGAAGGGCAAGAAGGGTGCTACGGAATATCGCCGAAAGGCTTTTGCTCATTTGTTTCCATTAGTGGCCACCACCGACAAGTTCAGTGGTGGTACGCAGCGGAGGGCCATCGTCGAGATCAAGCAGGCACTGTCTGAGATATGGCAGTACTTCTGTTCGCTCGGCCATGATATGGCCGGCCTTTACTCGAGCTTTTATTCCTGGCTCTCTCTTGTTGAGAAAAGCGGCCTGGAGCAATTACTCATTGGGTGCCAAATACCCTGGCCAAAAAGCGGCAAAGATATGGAGATGGCAGCACGCGGCCTTCAAATGGGCTTTGATCGCACACTTGCACTTTCTGGTGGTCTATATTCTAATTCCTTTGCTCCTTCTATTCCATCCAGCACTTCTACTCCCTCACTCTTCCCAGACAATTCCAGCATGCCAGACTTCCCCGTCTTCAATTTCACTTTTAATGCCGCTACCACTTACAATACACCTACGATGCATAATGAATCTGACCCCGCTGCCATTAGTATGCTCTGTCCTATTCAAGCAAGTTGCTTGAATTGAAGATACCTCGGGGTCCCCAAGGCAGGTTCAATCTCTGAACCCACTTGCCTTATAGGGAACATCTTTCCCACCAGTTTAAATCTCTTTCCTCGTTCTTTGCTGATGTTTGCTATCAAATATAGGCACTGTTCCTGCCTTGTGCTTCCTTCACCATCAGTTCACCGCCCTCCCGCCGCCCGCCCGCCGCCCGTCAGTGCCATTGATGGCATCAATCCCACCCCCAGCCAGCCACTGGCCCTACCCCCCTCCATTAACCTCG